ATAAGTCCTTACGTAGTGTGCCATGCATAGCTTGGGGTTGAATTTTGTAGTATTTGAGTTGTACTTGGGCAAGGAATATTCTCCCAAAATTTCAGGCTTCCAGCTTTTCTGGTTAACGAGTTAGCTATTTTGCCGCCAAAAATTTCGCATGTCCGTGCGTAAATACCCTACGTACCCGGAAAGCTGAAATTGAAATTTTTAAATTGCACGTGGACAGAGAATACCACCATAAAATTTCAGCCTTCCAGCTCTTCTGGCTGCCTAATTAGTAATTCACTGCAGAAATTTTCTTACGCTCTTACTTGAGTACCACTGATACCTGTGGGCTGAATTTGAAATATTTGAGTTGTACTTCGATAGGGGACATTCCTCCAAAGTTTCAGCTTTCTAGCTTTCCTTGCTTCCGAGTTAGCAATTTTCCCCTAAAACTTTCAAACGCTCTTACACAAGTACCACTCGCACTTGGAAGCTATTTTGAAATATTTTGCTAGCACATGCATAGGGAATATCCCTGCAAAGTTTCAGCCTCTTAGCTCTTGTGGTTCCCGAAATCGCTTTCCCGCCAAGAAATTTGCATTTTTTTTTAAAGCGTCCGTACACGGCACCCAGGCATCCACGGGGGATGAAATTAAAACGGGAGGGTCGCGCATGGTGCCACTGATACCTAGGGACTGAATTTGAAATATTTGAGTTGTACTTCGATAGGGAACATTCCTCCAAAGTTTTAGCTTTCTAGCTTTCCTGGCTCCCGAGTTAGCAATTTTCCCCCTAAAACTTTCAAACGCTCTTGCACGAGTACCACGCGCACCTGGAAGCTATTTTGAAATATTTTGCTAGTACATGCACAGGGAATATCCCCAAAGTTTCAGCCTTTTAACTTTTCTGGTTCTGGATTTGAAAATGGGTGACAAAAAGGGCGAAAACACAGACACACAGACACAGACACACACACACACACACACACACACACACACACAGAGCCTCTTCTCAATATGCGTTTTTATGCGTTTTTGCATATATGTAAATTGCAAAAACGCATATTGG